ATGGTTAGCCTTTAGAAATAATTATAAATCAATGGAAAAGCCCCACAAAGATAGACAAGTTTGTGAGTGGGTGGACTTGTTTTACCTACAATGTGGGGTATGTTGTAAAATATGATGGGCTGGGAACCACTGAGCAGCCCCTAAAAAAATAATAATGAAATCAAATTGAATAAATGACTAAGCTTTTGTGTTTTATGACTTATTGCTAAATTTAAATTCATATATAGCCTATATAAAAACACATTTTAAATATTTTTATAATAATTAAATTAGCATTTAAAATGTTTAACAAATTATTCATTAATTGGATTATGATACCTTAGGACCTGAACAGTTTCTGTACAAAAGAGAAGAAGAGCAGCTTCCAAAGAAAATTACAGTAAAATCCAGCTAGTCTGCAGTAATGAGTTTAAAGGAATCTCTGTGGCTAACTAAGCAGCTAACTAGTCTCCCTGCTGAGGCCCAGCTGCTGGATGCGATAGTACAGTAATGCCCTGGAAGCAGCACAAAGCCTTTTATTTATTTCCTGTTGAAAATCAGCCAAGTTGGAAGAGCATCGCTGCCGGCTCGGACTGCTGCATCCAAGGTCAGATTAGCTCCAAAATGCTGCTGGACACAACAAACTGAACCACTGCTCTAATTTAATAGAAGCATAAAAAATAGATCTGTGTTTTGGGGTAAATTCAAACAAAGAAAGGCTTCCTCAAGTCGACTGCAATCTTCTTGATCTTTCTCCGGTTTTCATCTCAGGCAAGAACAGAAGGCTGAAAATGAGGGAGTGTCAGAGAAGGCTGAGAAGGGAAGGCGGGTTCCCTCTCGAGACAACAGATCTGATGTTTGAACCCTTTTTCTGTCTGCTTGTTGATCTTCCCTCTCAGCAGCAAACAAATTATGCGATATAAAAACAGCAGCAATGTGTCACTCTTTGCTGCCTGGGGACGTTGACTAGTCAATAACCAATAGGGAATGTAAAAATGAAACCAGTATTTTCCCTGCATAAAACACTGCAATCTGCTACTACAAAGATTCACTCTGTTCCAGTTGAAGGACAAAAAAAAACTGTTTCATTGTGTTTATGGGAAGATGTGCAGCCGGATGAACAGGAAGTGACCTAACAATAAATATCAGCACCACAGTAATAAGCAAGTCCAGCAAATCTCTATATTAACAAGATATCAAATGTATTATTTAAAGGGCCACATGATTAAAATACATATCTGCTTATACATATTCAGTTCTCTTTAACCTCCTGAAAGAGAATGTTGAAATACATTTTTTGAACAATTTGCTGTTACTTCCAATAAGAGAGAATGATAGGACCTCCTTATGGAGCAACACATTTTCTAACTTTATAAGTTTTTATGTATCAGTATTCAACATCACTGTGAAGGAAGTTTCCCCTTTTTTTATCAATGTTGTTTTAGTTGATCTAGGTGTGTTTAATTGTTTCTGTGCAGTTATCCTGAAGTCCAATCCCAATCAGGTTAGGGTAAGTCTTGATCAAGTCAATGCTTTTATTTTGAAGCCATTTTATTGGAAATGTGCTGCTAAGTTTGTGGTTGTTGCCCATTTTTGCAAGTCAAGTTTTCCACAGAGATTTGTTATCATTATCTTGTATTCCTTTTCAATAAAAAGATAACAAAGCTGTAATCTAAGTACTTTTGTGCTGTTGAGATTATTTTTGGAAATAATTTTAGATCCAAGGGGCGACTGGATTTATTACAACCTATTATATAAAATGTGAGAATTAAAGGTATAAGTTCTAAACTGCAGACAGCTGGGAAGGTTAAGCCCTAAAAACACAATTATTATCATAATCCCACTGGTTTCCAACCTCCATTTTACCTCTTGATAGCCTTTCTTGTCTGAAAGCTGCAGAGAAAACACTTGACTTTCTTAAACAAATGTCTGTGACCTGCTCTCCATCATCGAACACATAATGACTGCATGAGGTGCCGTGTAACTTTGAAGCAGATACAGTAAGTGGGTGTGCGCAGCAGAAACAGGGCTGTTAGCTCGTGCTCAATTATCACCACCATATGTTGCTTATACTGCATCTCCAGGATTTGTTTTTACAGTTTTCACAGAAAGCTTCCTATATTTCTAAGTCAGAGGCTTTGCAATAAGATGTGCTTTTTAAAACAGCAGGATGTTTATTTTAATTTGAAATCCTGGCATTATTTTCTGTTAAAGTGTTCAAAGCTAAACAAAACAGCACCTTTTACAAACATCAGGCTTTTTTAGGGTCTGTTGATTTATAGCTCTATTCTTTAAAATCTGGACCTCCTTTTAAAAAACATATTTTATTGATTTAAAACAATGAATAGAACTAATTAGAATAACTATGCACCTCAAAAGGAAAAGATTCGATTAATGTGGATATTTCTGACTGCAATTTGTCCAGTAACAGTAACAATTGACCTTGTTAGATATTAGAGATGCAAAGATCCGGCTTTCCTGGCAGGTGCTGAATTCCATTATTATTTTAGACGAGGTTACAATGATATTTTGCTCAGGTTCAATCACAGATAACAGTAAAAATAATAATAATAATAATAATAATGATGATGCAGGTTGTTAAACTGAAGTAGTACTTTTGAATCCACAGCAGAAAGAAAGGGATAAGATTGGGCCCATTCATTCATCAAATCACCTCAACAACATGAACTGTATTTTTTATTTTTTTTAAATAAATCTAAAAAAGTAAACAATATCATTGTTGCTACTGTAGGAGTCATAGGCTGAGAAAATGTCATTTTTAAAGTGTGCTTATAGAATAGGTGAAAGAACAGCAATATTTTCGACTGAACAAAGAACAAAGAGAAAAACTGGTCCATTATAGGTGTTTCTTAATAATTGATCTGTGAATTGCTGATTGTGACTATATTCATATTACAATATCACAAAAAAGTCTGGCTAACGTTTTCTTTTAAAAAAAAAGCTTTTTCAACGAGCATAAACAAAAACAACCATATATTTTTAAGAATTAAATGGATCTTGTGATATATTATGAAAATCCTTATCAATAATTAGTCAACGTGTCAAAAACAAGCTGAAAATACTGTACTCTATTATTTTCTATTATTCGTTTTCACTCTTTGCATATCTGCTGGTGTCAAAGCAGCAGATGATAAACCAATACCCGGTCACTGTGAGCAAATGGTGCGGCTCTAGCAGATTTTCTGGCTGAGCACAAAAAGGGATTTGGCAGTGTTTTGAAGACTGTTACTGTCAACAGTGTGTTTTCCCAGTGGGGAAACATATTGTATAACCAAATGCTGGGATGTTAAGCAGAAATACAGTACAGTGCAGCTTTGCTCATTTGCATGAGGTTGCATAATGCGATCTTGCACATGGAGATGATTGTAGTCATAACACCTTGATGCAAAGTCAAGATGTTGGCGACACATTTAGATTAGATCCTCGCTGGTGAAGGTCGGCGTGACAGTCACAGGCCAGGCAGTATATTCTTACATGCCTGAATCAATGCAGTCTTCCGAGAGCACTTTTCATCTCATGTTTATTATCGATCACTTCTTACAGGGAATGATTTTCTAAGGGAAAATTTATGTGATGGTGCTATAAACTGCAGGGATACAAAAACAAGACTTGGGACCTGACTGAAGAGCATAACACTGTGAATCATGTGAATGGGACAACTAATTAATGAGGTAAGAGGAAATCAGTGACATTTTTTCTAGAATAAATAGCACCATAAAACAAACTGTAACTTAACTTTGCATTGGTAAAATTTGCGCTCCACAAATGAGGCCAGAAAACAGATCAGTATGTGACTCAAAGCAGCAACAAGTCATCTGCGAGTACAAATATACCGAACACAAAATCTATGAGAGTTTTATTGATAATAAGAAAATACTACAAATATATTCATATTCTCAATGGTTTTATACTCATTTGAGGTTTATCTTATTTTCTAAGGGATGATTAACAAGAGGACAAACATACAACATTTGTTGCAAATCATATCTGGCTTAGTGAACAGTCAGTTTCCAGCCTTGCTCCTCATGTACTCCTATCTTGACACACCTGACCTACCTGACCTATGAGTAATTAACATGCTTCTAAAGCCCTTAGTGGCTGCTGAGGAGGTTGAGCAATCATTTCAATCAGGTGTGTTAGAACAGAGACACACAACATCTGCAGTGTAAGCGTTCCTGAGCACCAGGATTTGGAGGCTACCAACTCAAAGGACTGATCAACAAAACATTTTTCTCAAAACATGAGTAAAAATCCATTAAAAGACAGAGCAGTAACAGCAGAAACAATAAAACAGAAAAAAAAATCTTGAAAGAAAAGGGAAAAATGTAGTTTACGCATTTTTTTACAAATAAAAATCGAGGGCGACCCATTGAAGAGCAGAACATTTAAGATTGCCTTAAACATCTCATATTAGAAATTAGTGCAGCTACCATTAAAAAACAACCTAAAAATAACTAACCATTTTCCGATACCAATGTTAAAGCAAATATATCATGTACCCTTTATTCTATATCTATGGTAAAAGCTGTACTAGCCTCTCCTCTCAGTCTGCAGAAGGAAAAAATGACATTCCTAAAGGAGATTCAGCAAGATAAACTATGCTTCAGTGTGTACCTTTATTTTTCCAACAGAGTTGCAACCCTTAGAATGCCTCTAACTTGCTGATCTGTACAGTACCTGACACTCCTTTACATTAGTGCTTTATGGTGCATGCTTGCACCATAAACATCCATTAGCATGCAAAGGGTGTCCGCTAACCCCCAGTGTGGTCTCACTGACTGGTGCATCCAGTGGCACTCATTTACAGACATTCACAAGGCTCATCCAAACCTCAACATCAAAACGGCTCAAAAAAGAGGCAGAAGTTAAAAGGTGCCTCTAATGAAAAAGATCTGACCTCAACCCACAAACCACATGTTCTAAAGCTAGAGATAAACCAGCCGGAAACACTCTTCTCTGTCATGCAACTACATTTGTAATGATTGGAAGATTTATCTTACATCTTGTTTTCTGCTCACTCTTGATCGATCAGTTACTGCTTTTCCCGTTTTCTTGTGTAAAAATATTTGCCCATGCTTTCTCTCTGCCTTCAAAATCCATCACATCGCTGAAAGCAAAATAAAAATATTGCAGCACTGACATGAAGATCATACACATCTCCCTTTGCATCAGCAATGAAAGAATAAATAGGAAATGGGCTGCTTTAGCAAGCATCCATTATTCATCAGATACAGCACTCCTCCTCTACATCAACAACCCTGTCGCGCTGTTTAATTCACTATTTTTTCACACTGGGTACATGTCTACACAACCAGCAGTGAAATGCTTTACAGTGTGCAAACCATAAAACAGATTTGATGTCAGGGTCCTAAAAGAATACAGCCCCACATTAATGCCTCGTTGGCATGGGATTTTATGAGACATGACGGAGAAGTTATTGCACATGGTGACATAGCTCTTGGATTAAAACTACCTGCAGTTGATATGGAAAGATGGCAAGACTTTTATGCATTCCCAAGATTGTGCCGGAGTTTATGATGCAGAAGGAAAAAGGTGGGAAGAATCTCTTCTCTGGACTTGGTGCAATCTTTACAATCCATTTCAAAGTCTTCTACCTAAACAAAAGGACCTCGTAAGGCTCAGTTTCCCATCATTTGGATCATCTTGAGCCTTGAGATGTGTTTAAAAATGACCCCCCCCCCCCCCATAGACTTTTCTGTTTTCTTTTTTTTTAATGGTATACAGTATATACACTCACTGGCCACTTTATTAGGTACCCCATGCTAGTAACGGGTTGGACCCCCTTTTGCCTTCAGAACTGCCT